CTTGAACATCAGTACATTTTAAACTGAAGTATACTTTGAGCTTAGGTTGCAAAAAAATACCCATAAAAAGGAGGCACACATATACCAACAAAGAAAAGAGATGCTTATAGATAACCTCTCTTGATCTTTTGAGGTAATTTTGGTGGTGAAAAGACAAAATGGAGTGGAGAAATTAATGGTCTTAAACAGAAGCTCCAGAACCAAAGTCCAGTCTGTGCCTTTGTGAATACCACTGCAGAAGTCCTCAAGAACGAATCTACCATAAAGTGAGTTTTTGAAGAATTTCTTCCTTCTTCCTACAGATATGAATGCATTCACGATATGAATACTAATCACGACGATAAGTAAATTATTATAAATTAAAAATTAGAGTTTGAATTAATTTTAAAAGCTGACTTTTCTTTCTTAATTACAGGGATCTTTGCCCTCAAATTCAAATCGCACTTCAAGTTAAATTGTGAAAGAAAACAGCATGAATTCAAGACTAGATTTCTAAGATTAAATAGATGACCTAATTGAAAAAGTATTTTCTCAAGGGAAAGTGTTGTGTTATTTAGACTTGTTAGCAACTTTAGACTGGTTAGACAGCTTTAAAATGATGGATTTATACTGAACCATCTGCATCTCTCCAGTAGCCCTTCTGATGTAACCGTAAAATTGTTTTATAAAGTTATTGATTCCCTATTATAAATCGGTTGTTATATTGTTGGTAAACTGCTTCTGTTAAAAGCATCTGCTAAATGAGTATGTTAATGTGTGGAGAATCTCCACAGAAAACTGAAGACTACTTTTTTTGGGTCAGTTTTATTGTGGGTCTTAAAAACATTGGATTTACATATAAAATGAAAGCATGTATACATTTTGATTAAACATGATAGTTGCTTCAGTATCAATTTTGTTAGTTAGGATCTTCATAATTGCTTTGGGATATAGATTGTGGGGGAAAAAATGCTCAGTGGATGCCATGATAGTCTTTATACTGTTTTATACTTTTTATTACAACATGTTGCTATATTGTAGCCTAGTATGGTATTACTAAAAGAAAAAAAAAAGATCTGTTTCTTAAGAATTCTTCTTCTGCGCTTATTACTTATTCCCTATCCAAAATCCCTGTCGGTGTAAAGTATAACATTATAAATGATTTATATAATGGAAAACAACTCGGTATAAAAATATTTCTAAATATTCTCTTTAGTTTGATTCTGATGCACTGTAAGGATAAAAGAAACTCAGATACTTTGATCTCCTGAGAAACAGACAATACAAATTTACACGGGCATCTTCAAGACACCCCACAGAGGGGTGGTGCAGGAAACGCCTCTCTCACATATGCATCAGTTCCTTTTCATCTCCTCCCTCCACTTGATACACTCAGAATGGTCAATAGTATGTTCTATATAAATGCAAATAAGATTTACAGTCACGTTTGGTATCATTTGAATAGTCTCAGGGCGAGTGGTACAATGGTCTTAATCTTACAAAAGTAGACTAAAAGATAATACAGATCCTAAGAGTTAAGAGATACTTTGATTACTGTAGAGGGTCATTCCATGCAAATTACCTTCTGTTCCCATTGAGGTGCAAACCACCCAGGTCTGGGACCTGGGTTAATGCAAATTCCAATTGTTAGTACATGCCTCCATTTGGGGGATGTTTTATCTTGGTTTTGTATTTAAAGGATTGTAGCAAAAGGGTCGGGGCGATTCTGTAGTCAGAGAGCCCATAGTATGGAGTGTCTCCACACACTCTGTACTATGTATTTTCTATAAAGGTCAGGTATGCATCTTACTCTTAGATTTGTCTATGAGAATTTGATGTATCGTATTGATTTGATATCTTTGAATTGGCTATGTAGATAATTGGCATAATAAATATTTACCTGACTGATAATAAATTGTTAAATTTTATTTATTCTGACTTACTCTGAAATTATTTTCTCAAATAGATTAAGTGAAGGCGTATGTTTCCGCAAATCTGCATCCAGGGTTAAGTGCATACTAGATCTCAGGTTAGCTGGAGCATGGCGCACATCAGGTGAGATTATAGATTTCTGACTTAACTGCTTGACCTTAGTTAAGTTGTACTCAGTTGCGTTAACTATGGGGGACTAGTCATAGTACTGGTCATAACCGCTGGTTATTGTCTCAACTTTAATTAAGTTGTACGTAGTTATATTAACTATCGGGGGCTAGACAAAGGGTTCTAGCAGAACCGCTGATTATTGTTTTGAGCATTTACCAAGTTGTACATGGGTAACTGTAGGGGCTAAACAGAACTACTATTTAAAGAATGGTAAGCATGGGCGACCTATTAAATAGTATTAGTCATAAACCTCTGGCTAATGATCAGACTGGCGAGTTTGTGATCGTGGGGCCCACGCATAGCGGCCGCCATGAGGCACCCTAAGCGACATAGATTCCTAATGAATGAGTAAATATAAAGTAAAGAGTTAACTAGAATAACCAAATGTCAGAATAATAGCAATAATTAGAGACAGACAAACAACCAATTTGCCTTTCAACCTAAATTCGAGGTCATACTAAAATGGAGTCAGATTAGATGATAAAATGGAGTCAGCAGAACGAACACGCAAGAAACCTTCATCCACCACTGGATACCTTCCTTGGGCCAAGTGCGTGGACCTTACAATGCACTATGAACTCAAAACACATGGAGAAAAATCTAAAGTTACAACTTGGTAACCGAATATTTTTGGTGTGCGTGTGCTTTGGCTGAAGGTCAAATTGCTGCATCATGTTTCATGCCAAAGGGTGTTGGAGAAAGTCTTTTAAAGGGGTCCTATTATGCTCTTTTACAAAGTCTTGATTTTGTTTTGGGGGTGTACTAGAACATGCTCTCATGCTTGGTAGTTCGAAAAACGCATTATTTTTCACATAATTTACATGATTAAAATACCTTTCTCCCCAGCCAGGCACAAACGACTCGATTAGTTCCGGCTTTGATGAAGGTCCGCCTTCCGAAAAACAAAATGTGTTGTGATTGGTTAGCTGTCCCAGTGCATTGTGATTGGCGAACAGCTTAGACGGTGTTTCAGTAC